GGTCGCGGTAGCTCCAGTGGTTTCAGCCGTGGTGGTGGTGGATTCAGCAGAGGCCGGTAACTGGGCAACATGAGGAGACCCTTGGGAAAGAGAGGGTTACCATTTCGAGAGCGAGAGGGATTCGCAGGATGCCATGCGGATGTACGGAGTGGCTTAGGATGGGCTCAACACGGCGTTTTACGGCTCTGTTTATTTTCTTCCTGTTATCAGTATTCACATTTCCTTATACACTTACTGTTCTGTACCTGTTGGCATTTTGATTGGACCAAAGGCCTTGGAGATCCAATGTGTCAGGCATCATGCGTTGCAAAATCAAAAAGTCAACTCATGTGTCAGACTTCGTTATATGCAAGTGACGTGGCCATCGTAACGCTGTGCAAAATCCCATTTTTGAAGGGGTATCATGTAAATAAAAAGACAGCAGGCTGAGAAGAGTGCCAGCTACTAGTTGCTTACTGTGCAGCTTGAGCGATTTTAGCAGAATCGCTCCTTTCCTAACGCAGTTCTGACAAGATGGCGTGTTTGCAATATCTCGTGTGTCTATCCACCGTGCTCGCTAATGTCTCCTTGTTTCTCCACGTTTAAGCATTCTTGAACATTGTCATCGATTCATGCCTCGGTAGCCAAAATAAAACACTAATAATGAAGCAGCCTAGCACACCGACGCTGCCTTTGCAGCATAAGCTTACTTGCCACAATCACGGGCCAGCTTCAGCTAAGGCTTAGGTATGCGGATAGTCTTGCTGGTCATGAGGCATCCATGGACGATAAAGAGCAGCACGGCAGGGTGAAATTCGAAGGGCGTGCCCGCAAAGCATACGCCCCAGGGAACATTGTCGAGGATCCAGCCGCTGCGCAGCCAGAAGGCCATGATGCCGTCGAGGGCGAGCGAAGTGGGAATCGGGGTGCCCTCAAAGTATGTGCTCTTGCCCGTCTTGTCCTTGGGCAGAACGGCAACGGTGACGTTGAAGCGCGCGAGGCGGGTGAGGCCGCAGAGAACGAAAAAGGTGAGGCCGACTGTGTCAGCGACGGACCGGAGGCCAATGGTGAATGCGACCATGGCCGGGGCGACACCAAAGGAGATCTGCAGGGACTGTCAGTAAATTTTTACATGGTAGGCAAGTAGAGGCGCGCATACGAGATCGGCCAGAGAGTCGAGCTCCTGGCCCATGAGGCTGCTCTTCTTCCTCCAGCGCGCCACCTTGCCATCAAAGGCGTCAAAGAAGAAGCCAAAGGGCAGAAAGGTGAGGGCCAGCCAGATGTTGCCGTGGGCGGCGGGGTCGGCGTCGAGGCAGTAGCGCAGGGAGGAGAAGATGGACATAACACCGCAGAAGCCTGCATTTTCCTGTTAGTATATTCGGTGTTGTCATGAGCGGTGGACCAAAAGGATGGTATTGTGGAGGGACGATGCACGTACCATTCATGAGGGTGATGAGATCGGCCAAATGCATGGCGCGGACGAGAGAAAAGTGGCCAACATCGGCGGAGAGCAGCGTCTTTTGCTTGTCCACGGCTGCAAGAAACGAAATCAGTTAACGGCTTGCCCTTCTGTGACAGCTACAGGCATCGTCGAATTTTGCTTCCCTGCACTCTTGAGCGCCAGAGATCAGAAATGGGGGAAGGTGAGGCCAAGGGTCCTCATACCGGGCTGGTTGACGAGAGACGCGTCCTTGTCGAGACCGCCGTTGGAGGCGCCGGTACTTGATCGCTTCGACATGTTGTGAAGGCGGCGCGTATTGAGGTGGGCGATGTTTTACACAGACCGAGCAGAAAACTTATTGAAACCAATGACGTTTTTTCGGCAAGAAAGAAAATTGCGCGGCGCGAAAATGCTGTCGAAAAATGGGATGCTGGTTATCGAGTCCGTGCTGCGAAGGTTGAAAGGGATGAGGCTGAAGAGAGGACGAAGAAAAAAAAAAAACGTCGACACTGGTGACATCAACGATAGTGGCGGACGACGAGGAAGGAAAAAGTTGGGGCGGCTGGGCAGCAGGCAGCAGGGAAGCGAGCAAGCTTAGAAAGTTGGTCAGGAAGCTCGAGAGTGGGCTTGGGCTGCATGTGGGTAGTGCAACAGCGCACAAGAGGCGAGGTTGGGGGGAGCTTGTCCACTGTAGCGGCAAATATGCGCTATCTTACATGGCCAGTTTTCTTGATTAATGATTATTGACTATCTTACAGCGCAACTACATGGTACGGAGTAAAGCTGTACATTGTCCTCGACAGTTGCCATATTTAGGCATTCATTCGAGCGTTGATCATTCGGCCTGGATAAACAAGGTAGTGGCGCGCGCCACAAGCTGCATTGGTGGCGTCGACGGTTGCTCTCATCGGCTACGGCTTGGGTAGCAACGCAACGCTATTGCAACAAAAACAAATAGCAAAAGAAAGAAAGGGTCTGAAAACACGTTGCCAAGACTATTTCACGAATCGAGTATCAAGTATCAAGTATCAAGTATCAAGTATCAAGTATCAAGTATCAAGTATCAAGTATCAAGTACCAAGTATCAAGTGTCAAGTGTCAAGTGTCAAGTACGAAAAGGAAAACAACCGCCAACCCGTACGAGCAGAAGATCAAATGCACAAAGCAAAGTCAATACCAACAACCATTACCTCAGCAATTCAGGCTCTGCAAGCCTCAGCTGCTCGCTCACCACTAATTTAGTCACACTACCGATTCACCAAAACACCGTTAGATTCAGCCAAACCGTCACAACAGAAGCCTGCACAAGCACATATTTTATGCACCCTACCTTCCCTTGCTGTTGAAGACGAAGGCGGTCCGTCGCGTCCACTGACGCTTTCTAGCTCGCCTTTCACTAGCCTTGAAGTGCATGCGAATATTTCATGTACTACATACAACTCAGAGACCGGCGTGATGTTAGCCTCGCTGTAGTGTACACACTTTTGTAGCGTGCTATACTCGATTGCCTAAATCGGACAGTTAGTCGTGAAGAGCTGAGACGTCTCGTCTTACACGAACAAGAGCACACAAGCAACACTTTTCACTCTCTCGCAGCTGGTCGGCCCTCGTTTTCTTCTTCTCAATTGATCTGTCGCACATCTGTCTTTCAGTTACATGCTCCTCACTCCTTTTTCAGTCAGGCCGTCTTTAATCTCTATTTTTAACTGATCATTTCTGTCTTCCATCTCACATACCGCCGTCTTTGCATGCAAAGTTCTCTCAAGTCAAACTGTTCATATATTTTCAAACTCGAAACAATCTACACTACATCCAACAATTCAATTCAAACAGCCTTCACTTCACAACCAACCACGATCCTTCATCCCCCCCTTACATCTTCCATACACCTCCTCACTCATCCTTTGCCGGATCAAACCCATGCACCCCATCCCCCGCCGCCTCCCTCAACGCCCCCTCAAACTCATCATCAAGCTTCGGTCCTACGCCTCCCTTCCACGCATCCAGCATCTTGTTCCGCAACTCCACGCTCGGCCACCGGTCCCAGCCCACCAGCGGCGCGCGGAAAAAGTTCCCCCGTGGGTTCTCCGGGTGCGCCACGTCATCGTCGTTTGCGAACCGGTAGCAATGCGTGCCCGCGCCATCCTTGTGGTACACCAGCAGCGCATGCCTGTCGCGCAGCGGAAAGTCGTTGCGCGCGTTGTCGTACTTGCCGTGGCACGACAGCGCCACCCGCACCACGTCGTTGCCCCTTGTGAAGACGACAATGTTTTCCCAGTCGTGGCGGTGGCCCCCGAGAAAGGATCCCGCTACCGCCTGGTCCTTTTCGTAATACGTCTCGTACATGATTGCACAAATCCCGTTGTTGCAGCGCTTGCGCGAGTACGAGTTGGCGTTGTCGAGCTGATGGGCATCGCGGCAGTCGCCCTGCGGCGTGCCGGTGGCGCCATGCCCAGGATTGGTCTACAAGCGCCCAAATTAGTCAATAGATCCTATACGGTATCATCCCGAAATATAATTTGAAATAAAAGACTGACCTTGCCGTCCTTGTCAATGGCAGACGTCTGGTAGCAGCCATCACTGTCAAAGTCAAGGAGCGGCTGGACGTCAATCTCAGACTGGTCCGCGCTCTCATCAAGCGCGCCGATAACGTCCCTCTTGCCGATGTTCTCAACAATAGGATTGGCGCGGGCCAGAGCCAGCATGCCAGAAAGTGCAATTAAAGTAGCTTGCATTGTTACAAGGTACGTCGGTTTTCAGCTAGATAGAAGAATGAAGAGTGCGGTAATGTGCTGCATTGTTTCTCTCTAGACGAAGCTTTACCCGCTGTATTTGTACTTTTTCACTTTCATATAGAGACTCCTCTTCTGTATCTCACCGAGATATCTCTCATCAGACTTCATTTGATCAACCTGCATGGGCGACGTGCCGGTCCCAGTCCCCCGCCAACGTGCGTGCCCATGTAAGCACTAGCCGTGGATGAGACTGGGCCGAGCTGGACGACGGGGGCCATGACATCTAATCCCTGGCCATTCTAAAGTTATGCTTGTTCTTGTCAGCAAGCGACCTCTTTGAGCAGCATCAACAAGGCCGCCTTGCTCATGAAATTCCGAACGAGATGTGGATGGGTGTGGGCGACGGTGGGCCGAGAGAACCTGCAAGGCTCTCTCTGCATGATCAAGCTCGGTCCGTCTCGGAGGCTATGCCAGGACAGCACAAGGTACAATCTCTGGTGTTGCTATTTTCCTGATATGAGAGTTGAATCAGAGGCAGCACAAACTAGGGCCCAGAGTCACATCTGCCGGTACAGTTGCCATACGGTCACACTTAGCTCATTCGAGGAAATCGATTCGGCCCTGTGTTGGTCAGATTTCAGACCAGCGATTTGTACAAAGAAAACTCCCCGGATGGGTACCATACCATTGTCTGTGGGCCGAGGCCGATCCGCACAACTCCCTGAGCATCGAGGGCCAAGCCTTCCTTCTCTAGTGTCTTTTCCTGAATAATCTCCTTGTTCATCTCCTTCTTGTTACTCTTCATCGTCGATCACTTGCTTACATGGATCCATTCTCCCTGCTTTATGTCCTGGATAGATGGTCTCATTGGCAAATCAAAGCTACGGAGCCCTTCAACTACGATACAACAAGTGTATAGAATTCTCACGACAAGAGTCATGTTCACATGAACAGCCCTGAAGCAAAGGCCCAAAGGCCACAAAAACGGAGTTCCTTCAGCTTGGGCCTCACTTTCGTCTCCAACGATCTGCAATAACCTTTCCAGTTCTCTTTAGCATGTTGGCATGGCATACGCCAACACAACTTATGACGATCGATGAGTGAGTGGCGACTGAGCCCACTTACACGACAATGGAAAAGCAAGCCACTCAGCACAAGCAACCTACAGAGGCAACAAGTTTACATTTATGGGCTACGCTTTCGTGACCAACACCTACTAGCCTTCCTCATCGCCTATCCAAGTGATACAATCTGTACCGAAATACTTGATATATTTATAGCCAGACTGGAGCGTATATTATAGTCAAATCTATGTACAGGTAAAACATGTCGCCATTTGAGCATCCGCTGCAGTCTCAAGAATCGCTGCAGCTGCAGAAAGCCGTCACCTTTGACTCTGGTTCTGTATTATGATTACTGTATGATGGACTCGCCATATTGAGCATCATGTCATCTGATTTTCAGCGTTCGATCCTTGAAAAACGCGTAGGCATGATACTCAAATCGTTTGCTGCATCTTCAATTTGAAATGCATCGTGTTTGCGGTTGCTTGTCAGTTATTCATCGCGTGACTACTGCTGAAATGCTGTCAAGCTGAGACCTGTGGGTGCCAGAGACACCACAAATTGTATATCCTCTGGGAGGCAGAATAGTGTGGCTGTCTTCTGTCAGCATCATATCTCAGGACCCTTGCAGTCAACGTACCTTGATCCGCCATACGGATTGCCAAAAACGCGAGATTTACGGCCTAGGCTAGTTAAGACTTGGAGGCCATTTATCGCCGATCCTCCCTTGATAGTGAAGCCGCTCAGGTACTCTCCTCGTCGCAAATCTGCTCATATTAGTACACTGATGCCCCATGCCTGGATCACTTGGTTTTCTTACCAAAGTCGTAGGTATCGCCTCTAATTTTTCCTGCCCTCGTGCCGAAGAGCTGAGTCTCGTCATCGTCATACACAAACTCGAGCCCGTATATCACGTCGGCATCATGGTAGACATTCATTCGTATCATGACTCTGTCAGTGATAGCCGATGCAAATAGAAGGTCCTCTGGGTCTGTATTTGGAGGCTGTGCAGTTCCGATTTGACAGCTGCGGAAGCCCTGTTTCGAGCCCTTGATCTTGACTGCCTGTGCCTTGGAGATGAATTGTTTGACATTGTCAATGTCCAGAGAGTTGCCACCGTGAGACTTTATTGAAAGTCTGATGGGGCCTTTTCGTATTGTCTCAGGTAATCTTGTTGCGATGTCTTGCTCTGAAAGAGCAATTTGCCGGTGTGTTGCGGTACTGTCCAAGGGAAATTCCATCCAAGAACGGCAAACTCGGTCACCTTCGCCATAGATCTCTACAAAAGAGATGCCAGATGAAGCAACGGCTAAAAGAGTTCCATTCTCAACAGCATAGGCCTGCACACTGGCGTCGGAGCGGGCCGGGGGGTCGCGTGGGAGTCGGAAGGCGGGATGTGCGCGGAAACGAAGACAGTCTAGCCTGTGCCATGCGCACTCGTCTCCTTGCAGAGCCAATCCTCCTTTTGACTTTGTTCTTGTCGAGTATGCCTCGCGGGTGACAAATGTGCGGCTAAAGACGACATAATCTTTCAGCATGACACCCGTTTCTTGAGATGGGCAGCCAAACAGACGGCCAATCTCATGCAAGTGTGCACCAACACCAGCATTGGCAGCTTCCCACGAGCTACCTGCCTCGCCACATTGGTACTTGGCAAGTTGTGTGTCAGTTGGAGTGCAGTCTGTAAAGGAGGGCACTACTTCCTCTAGACTCGAGGGGTAGTGTTGTAAGTATTGGGAACCTAATAGTGCAATCTTGGCTTCGTCGGGACTACTTGTGGGTGTATCCACGTCGGTTGCAAGACTGGCGTCGGGGAGGTCCCAATCGGTATCAAGCAGCATTGCGGCTACATATTGTTTCTGGCCAGGGAGTGGGTTGAAGTAAGAGCTGACAGCACCGGCTACGGCGGCTCTCATGACCTTCCTGTTGGCCGGTTCGGTGCTCGCCGATTCAGCGAGTTGCTGTAGCTCGGCGACGGTCTTGTCGCAGCGTATGACGTGGACTCTAGCTTCGGATCTCATGTTGCCAGTTTCTCGGTCACGATAGTTGGCAGAGCCCGTCATCCATTCTTCCTCGAAACGAAATGTCCTGCGTCCCATTTTGTTCCGCCACATCTGCTCGGCAGTAAATGCCTGCCATAGGTAAGCAGCCATTCTGTACTTGCGAATGGCGGTTTCAAGGCCATTGCCTTCCCTTTCAGCGCGCGTTGGCGTGGCGGGGTATGTGGCTGGTGAGTCTTTGGCGAGAACAATGGCAAGCTGCAGTGGCGGTGATCCGGTGGCGGGAATCATGTGAATAGTGAGGTGAGATGAGTGAATCGGGTTTGAGGAAGTGCTGTTGGCCAGCTTGGGAGAAGCAAAGTCAAAGCGCAGCTTATTGGGACCGGGCTGAAGGTAAGCGACAGCCTTGAAGTGAGAATCGCAAACAGGCCAGCTGATGGGTGGAATGTCATCGTCTAGTCTGCTGAGGATTATCGTGCCGTCCATGGGCGTCGTGGTGGTGGCAGAGTCCCCAATGGTGCCGTAGAGGATGATAGATTTTTGATACACCTATATATGGTGTTAGCGGCTAAAATCCCACAGAAGACAGCCCTACTCGTTCCGCTTGAGGCGCATTGATCATGCTTGCGGGGTGCAGACTGGACAAGGGTATACTTGCCCAAGAGTTTTCATTGATATTGTGAATACGCGGGGCATATTTGGAGAGGAGAATGTTGGGCTTTCCACTCAGAGCGGGGGAGCCGAGTCCGGACGGGCCGGGGACGCTTTGAGTGCTATATCTGCTCGCATTGCTTCCATTGGCAGGCAGAGTTGGGCGTGAAGACGTCTGGGTGAGCTGCTCGCCGGTGTCCTTGAGCTGGAGGTCGAGAGCAGGGTCGGAATTCTGTGCAATTGAGGGCGGGGTGACGGAGCCGCTCGAAGTGGCAGTACCATGGCTCACGGCGCCTTCACTAGATGTGTCGGTGGAAGCATCGGTACGGAAACTAGCCTTGGACCGGCGGCGAAGCTCCTTGAGGAATTTGGGGGCCATTTTGAGAGCTTGGCAGGAGTCAAGGGAGGCAGCGCAGGCGTCGAAGCCGCAGGCCGAGCCTGGCGCTGTGCCTGGAGAATTTGGGGGGGGGAGACGGGCGAGTAGGAGGGGACAAGGCGGCGGAGGAGCGATTGAGTGATTATCTAGCGAAGAGATTGGTGGAGGCCTCGGATGGGCGCTCTTTGCCAAAGGCGCGCGGCAGAAGAAGAGCGTAAGAGTAAGAGTGGACTGAAAGGAGGGTGATCTGGTGAGGCCGTTTGCTTGGCGTGGTGAAGAATTAAAAGGATGGAGTTGGTGAGAAGGATCGGGGATGGGTAAAGGAAACTGCAGTTGTGAATAGTCTTGGATAGAAGTGGTGAGACTAGAGCAAAGAGTGGAAAGGGCAGTCAGAGGCTAGAGAAAAAACAAGGTTGGCAAGTTGATTGCAGAATGGTGGTGCTGGTGCTGGTGCTGGTGCTGGTATCGTGGTGTGGGAGCAGTCATAGCAGTAGCGCAGGTGTAGCAGGAGCATTGGTGATCGACCGATGGATGATGAGTGATGAGGTACTTTGTACAAGGAATAATAAAGCGGCGGGCTAGGCGCCTGGGAGGAGATTGGGTTTGGGCCCTGAAGTGAACAATGAGAATAGTGGGATAGATCGAGTAGAGCGCAACAATGAGAGGATAGGAGGGAAAAGAGGCAATGAGCGAGTGGGAATAGGCGGAACCTATCTGGTTTTTTTGGTCCTTCCCGATCCTTGCTTGAGTTCGTGTTGTTGGTACGGTCCGCTTGGCGTGACGTGCATGAGGCGTAAGAGTACGTTACAGACTACAGGGACAGGAAGAGCTCCAGACCAGTGTCACCGCCGTACATAGATCAATGCAGTGTTGAGTGGGTAACTCATAACTAATTAGTAGTAAATAGCGTGGAACAAAAATACTAGGCTGGTTGCCAGCAAAAGCCTTTCATCTCTTGGTCTGGCAACAGTCAAAAGACAGCTGAGCATTCTGTCAAGTCTCTCTAATGTGGTGTGCTGTCCACCATCCTCATAGGCCAGAGCTCGTCTTCAACCTGCGGGAGCCCACTGTGGAGCGGAGCCGCAATCGCACGCAAACGACAGCGTCGAGCTCCAAGACCTGCTAAAAATGTATGTTCATGTCAGCTCTCTCCGGTGCCAGTGGGTTGCTTCTTTGCTTCTGTGCCTTTCACCAGCCATTGTTGCGCCTCTTTTGCCAGCCATCCAGTTGCCACCCAGTTTATTACGGAGTATAGGTAATCCGTACTGACTAAGGAATGCCTGCCCCGATGACGTTGCACACTCCAGTATGCCCGCAACCGTTATGCTCGACATTTTGTTTTCAGCATGCCAACCCACATGGGAATCCTATCCTTTGCCTCTCGTGCCTCTCTCTCCTTTCTCCCATCTTTCTCTCCTATCTCCTCCCAAGCCACAACTTATCGCCACATGCTGGTAGTTAGGCACTTGTATTCCTCCAACGCGTTCTTCTCAACATTGTCCATTCTGCACAAGCAGGGTTTGGCTAACTCGTGTACTTCGTACCGACGCATAATTTGTGGTGCTTGTATCGGATTGAACTGCGAAATTACGCACTGTCCGCTGCCACAAAACACCGCCGTTCCAGGATTTCCGATTGTCCTTAGTTAGCGTGGCCTGCGCAACTCCTTGCTGTTTACGTACATACGGCCAGCCGCTGCATCACCGATGACCACGCCATTGCCTAATTTACCCATTTGCCCAGCTTCCAACCCTCTTGATTCATCAGATTTCTGTGCCGGCGCCACTCTTGACACTCATCTTAACTCCGTAAACTAGCCATACGTGCTAGCTAGTTGGTACGAACACTTGTCGGCCATGGGGACAAAAAAAGGGCCGGTTCTGAGAACTTTTAAAATACTATTATCATAACAACAAGCTGGTCTAGTAGTCTAAAAGGAATTCTATAGACTATAACTTAGTTAATATTTATTCTTCATTTTTAATAAAATTTATTGACCCCCCATACCGCGCAGCTGTGAATGAGAACACAGCATCAATCATGAGCGAGCGGCCAGCCCCTTTGGTTCCCCCCCCCCCAAAATGGTCGGCGTATTTGCTGTTGGGCGAAATTCTCAATTCACGCCCCGTTGTGCTCTCACACCATGGCCACAATTTCTCTTCTAAGCAACTTGGCAATGAAGACGCAGGGAATCTGCTGGTAGACATCGAACATCGCAGCTTTTTCTCTGTTGCTTTTGCTCTGCCACTGGTGCACCGACCAAGCGCATCACATCGCTTGGTCACGGTCAATATCTAGATGACACAACTCATCCAACCGTCTGGCCAAGGAGCAGATTTACGCAATAAGCCTTCCTAACCGCGGCCGACAGTTTGTGAAAACTCCTATCCCGTGCGACGCACGCTCGGCCGATTGTCCCTGACTAGCTCATTCCTTAATGACGACGACTACCCTATGGTATCAACCAGCCGCTGCCTGACACTCAACCTCGAAGATACCTCCAGGCTGCAGGCTATAGCCCCTGGACTTATGCCCTCGCTCGTCATACTACTTGTCATACTATGCTGTGCCAGCTGGTGCTGCATCTGTTTTGAACTGGCGCATGTTTGATTAGCCGCCGTGTATCATGGGGAACCAGGTGCAACTTGGATAGCTCAGCAGAATGCCACTGATTGACTATGTTACTTGCTCCTGAGCTGAACATATCGACTGAGGACTACAATCGTCATGTCTAACCCCGACATACCCATGGGCCGCCATTTCGAGAAGACTTCTCACCAAGCAACAAGCTAGTGCTCAACTACATTCCTCTCCGTTACACCTGTCTCATCACTGGCCAATATGTCGACGCTCAGGCTAGCGGAGAGAGCGGCCAAAGGAGGGGGGGAGAGGAGAGACGGACCAGGAGACAAGAAAAACGAAAGAAACGGCGGAGGAACCAACGACTAGAAGTGATCAATTGCTCTTCTCGCCGCAGACTGCACCGCATCGGAATTTTGCGGTGGAGAAGCCTGAGATGGCTTCTCTCAGGATTGCTCATCATTTGCGCAAAAGCTGGAGTGCCCGGCTGCAATGCCCTGCCAGTTGCCACGCCCGCTGAGAGATAACGTTGCAGAGAAGAGCCAAGAAGATCACTACACAAGGCTCGCCTTTAGCTGCTTTGAAATCCATAGCATTTCATGTTGGCGTCAAGATGAGGCGAGGATCGGGCGGACGGGTATTTGAAGCGACGGGCGTAAGAAATGTTACCGTGACCTCATGCTGGTTGCTGTGCTGACTTGCTGCGCTGGTGCCGCGCATACCTGACCTAGGCGGGCAGGCCCGGTAGAGGTCTGGGCTGACGACGCCCCTGTAAGGAAGAAAGTAGGCACAAGTTGCGACAAAGAGTACCTAGGCTGAGGCCGAGGCCCGTGTACAATGTTGCTACCCAAGGACCAAGGTGTCACCAAGCCTCACAGTAGATTGTGCCTTGCATGACGTCCTGGAACAGCGGGCAAGGGGAACAGAGAGCAGAGAAGAGCAAGTTGGATCTTTACACGGTTGTGTGACCAATCAGACGGGTACAGATGATGGTGGAACTGGACTCGGATAGTTGGTCTTTGGTGAACAAGTTAGATTGAAAACTAAATTTGAAGATTAAATTTGAAAATTAAATTGACAAGAGTGTCCTTGGTCTGTCTGTCGCCGGGCCAGGTGCTGTGGCAGGCGCCCGTTTCACAGACCAATCCGCCGCTGGCTGACTGGAATCCACCAGTACCTACCTACCTACCTTACGAATAGCCCGCTTGCCAGCCAACCCGCCCTCTGCTCGCTGCAGTAATAAAGGCAACCACTTATCTTCTCCTCTTCGCCAGTTTCTCCCTGGCGGTGCTGAATGCACCACTTTTGCACTTGACTTCCCTTCACTCCCGCCAGACAGACCACTTCCAAATCCATCCTCCCAACATCGCCAGCGGCTGCCCAATTTACCTGCATAGTTTTTAAGCATTGGCTTTCATTCTCGCACATCTTATCATGTCGTCCCCCTGGAAAAAGCAACCCGAGGAAGTCGTCGACTCCGTCCTAAAACGGGCCGAAGTGAGCAAGGTCAGTGAAGGGATGCACGATGCAATTTTCCAGCCGAGCGAGTTGCGCAAAACGTTCACACACAACAGTGCCAACAACCTCAAATTTGCTCACGCTAACACAAAATTATCTCTCCTCTCTAGATTGCTCGCCGTCTGCAAAATCGTCTCGCTCTCGCCCAGTTCAAGACCAAGCATGGCTGGGAAGATTTGACACTCGACTCCATCGAGCCCAAAATGGAGCAAGAAATTCGTCGCAGAAAGCTCTACGACGGCGATGTCCTTTCCGACTCCTCCTCCAGCACCTCCGACCTCCCATATCCGAACAAAGCACTCATGAGCTCGCCTCTCAAAGCACCCATCTTTTCCGACGCCATTGGTTCCAGCAATGGAAGCTCGGGCCACCGAAAGCGCACATACATCGCCTCCTTTGACAATGTCTCGTCTAGCCCCAGCAAACGCTTCCGTACCTCGCCTACGCTTCACAAGTCTTTCCAGAGCTACAGCTCCTGGAAAGACACCCACCAGCTGACACAATCGTCACCCATCAAGCCCCGCCGCCAGCAGCACTTTACCACGTCCGCCGGCCCTGATGTATCCTTTTTCCGCCAGCGCCGCCTGCCCAATGAGCTTACTTCGCCCAATTTTGCTGCCCCTTCCGACGACGATGAGGACCTCTTGCCCGCACATTCGTTCAATCTCAGCACTTTGAGGTCGTCGCCGCCGCGCACCCCGCCTATGCAGACGCGTTCTCTCAACAAGCGCAAAGGAAATGGCAGCCCTGTGGCTAGCGGCAAGACTGGCGAAGAGGGCGCCGACCTGCTTCTCTACCTCGCCGCTTCTCCTTCTCCAGCCGTCAAGGCCAACCGCGGACGCATGGAGCGCTTGACTACCCCGCCCCCCAAGAACAGCAAGCTTGATTTGCCATCGTCCATGATGATGACACCTGGCGGCGGCAACCTCTTCCCCAATACACCCGGTCAAGGTTTCGACTTTGCCGATTTCGTCAACATTACGCCCAGCCCGGCGCAGAAGCAATGGAGAACCCCTGGCCCCACGAGCACGACCCGCACGCCAATGAGCATTGCCAGGAGGCGGCTAACGTTTGATGACCCCATTGCCTGATGGCGTTGCATGCCCACGCTCACTATCACTGCTATTTCTCTTACTTGTACATGATACCACGACCGTACAAAGTGCTCCTACGCATTTGCATGTTTTTTTCTCCATTTTCTGTTTTGTCAATAGTTGGACCGTTTCCAGCATTTGCCGTCAACCGGGTTTCACAAAGTCTGCGCCGATGATTCGCCAGCTGGGTTGGTATATTTCATATTCTTATGGGAGGGGCCCGATTGGGAGCCTCATGATATTCCAAGGTCTGGGATAGGCGCATGAGGGATGCGCCAATGTATAATTTTTGTTTTATTCTACAGCTTAGGGTTCTTTTGTGACGCTTGGTGAAGCATCTGGAGTTGCATTTTTAGATGACTGGGGCAGTCAGAAGAGGTGTTCTATCTTGCCATTGTATGTGTTTGTACACCAGATTAAATTCAATGCGGAATTTAGGGTAGTAATTGTACTCGTCTGTATGTGTCCTATGTGAGTAAACTTACTTTGCTCCCATGATTCATCAAGTGTTCTCTCAGGACGTCCCCCTTGGCTCGTTGGGGACGCTAAGAGTTGTCAAAAGTGCTGCCCCGCAAAGGCAGCTTCCGCAGGCGCTTGATGCCCCAGTAACAAGGGATAGGGAGACAAAAATAGAAAGGGCTGAGGATCTAGAATTGGTGGTTTCTTACGGGATAATTCAACTGGTTATTTACAAGAGATGTGATCTTTATGCGCTTCAGCGGGCATATCTTGCTGAAGATCTATTGACTTTGAAAAGTTAGTGCTGGCAGCGCGTGCTTCAAACACGTCACGGCGCGTCAAGCGTACTGGTTTCGCGTGCGCACCGCGTTGCGACGTGTCTCATTGGATGGATGTGAGGTGTGGTGGAGATTCGGTAGTGGCCTGAGCTAATACTGTAGTGGTGATGTCATTGGTTAAGCACATCATGCAAGCACTTGAAGAGCTATAGAATCTCGACTTTTCTTCTGCCCAGTGAACATCAAGCTGCCTATTAGCCTTGTGAGAGGTGGGTGAAATGAGTTTTACGACAATACAGGGGCGGGTTTGACGGGTGATGAAGAAACGGTGTGATGAGACGACGACGACGACGACGCCGAATGTTGTGCCGGCATGAGCGCACTGCGGGTTGATTGTCACGACAACCGAGGCCTTTTAACTAGTGGATGTATCCGTTTTGGGCTGCCTGTTTATAAAGAAGCCTGTAATTGCCCGGATCCTGTCTCACGTCATGTGATCCCTGCCACATCCTTTACACTCCACCGAGGCGCAAACCGCATCTTACATGTAATACTTGTAAACCGTATTTCACGTGTACTTGTGAACCACTTTTATGATTCTATAATTTGTAGACTGTACTCCGTACATTGTAAACTAATCATTTAGGGATTCCCTCCCAGACCAAACAAGAAGCTGAACAAGATTGGATTCGAATTTCTTATGCCACAAATACAGGCTGAAATGATTGAAGCGGTGACGATGGGGTATTATAAGAGACTGAATAAATAGTAGGTTCGTAATATGCCAGTTGCCACGCCAATTGCCACGCCGGGCCGTCATGATGGTATAAAGATGGTATAAAAAAGAGAGGAAATGGCCCGCCTTTGCATCTTCCAAGAAGAATGCCCCCAGGACAATGAAGAAACGAATGACTTCGGTCAAAAAAGGTGAAAGAAGAAAAAAGGAAACACAACCACTTCTCATTAAAAAGCAGCGACCACCAATTTTTACATGGCTTGCCCCACGAAACCACCGCCCTCAAACCCCCTCGCGTTTTGTTGCGGCAGCGTCGGGCTGTCCGACGCCCCTGGCCTGTTGCCCACTGCCATCGGCTCCGCGCCCCATGCACTGCTCACGCCGCTTGTGTACCGGGAGCTCGGCGCGCCGCCACCCCAACCGCCACTGTACACAGAGCTCGCGCGGATATGCCCAGACGACTGGCCTAGCATCTGCCTATCGAGCTCCAGATCAAACGGGTCGGAGCGGAACTTGTTACGGCGGTCCTGAAAGGGGTCGTTGGTCAGGGAGGAAGTGCGTCGTGTGGCGGCAACAGCGGCGCGCTGGCCGTTGAGGGAGTGCGCGCGGGATCGCCGCTCGGCGGCGACGGACGAGTACGATGCGTCCGAGGGGTGGCTGCTGTGCAGGCTCGGCGCGGGCTGTTTGAGGATGCCGCGCAGACGCTGCTGCTGCGAGACAGCCTGTTGGGCCTGTGTGGAGTGGGCGTCGGAGAAGGGGTCATCGGTAGCCGCGGGGGCGACTTGCCGCATGGGCTGGTCACCGTTGATGCGCGGGGGCGGCCCGTGGGATGCCCACCATCCTTGCAGCGGGTTCCTGATCCGCATCGAGGCTTGCCGACCAGCGACGAACGGCCCCGTGATGGCGCATGGCGGCTGGTGATGGGAACTGGCGGCGGCGGCGGCGGCGGTGGCGGCGAGCGGGGTGTGCGGCCGCCCGAGGTCTTTGCGGTTACGCGCCCGCCGCCTCCACAACCACACCAACAGTGCGAGGATAGCGAGAGCAGCCGCGCCGCCGACTGCGCCGCCAATGATGACACCCATAGACGGACCGCCGCCGTCACCGTCGTTTTGCAGCTGCAAGTCGTTGGAGGGCGTGGGCGCAGCAGCAACGCCTCCGCCAGGAATGCCTACGACGCCCTTGTTGGTCGTAGGCGCGGCTGCATCGCTGGAATGCGTGACCCTGAGGCTGCTGGTCGACGTCGCCGGGTTGGCGGTGCTGGAGGGGATACTGGGCGTGTTTGTGTCCGTCGGAAGGGTGTCCGGCATCACGGCGAGGCCGTCGGCCGTGCTGAGTATCTGGGCCGGGAGCGACGTGGAGCTTGATGGCACGCCGGCAGCAGGTGGCGGGCTCATGTCTTGGTCTTTCTCAGCGGTGGTGGCGGGCTCGCTTGCAGAAGACGCGCTGGAGGGGGCGGGCGCGGCAGTGGTGGTGGATGGTGCTGCGGCGAGGTCGAGGGGCGGCGACGAGCTCGGCAGTTCGGCGGCGGCGGAATCAGGGCCTCGTATCGAGGCTGAGGACGAAGGCTTGCTGGAGACGGCGGCCGTGGTTGAAGCTGCGGTGGTGGTGGTGGGCAATGATGAATCCGCTGCTGTGGGTGCGGCTGCGTCTAGCGTGTTTGTCTCTTTGACAAATGGCGTGGAAGAAGAGGATGCGGCAGCGGGGGATATCGTGGTATGCGCGGAATAGTGCGATGCAGAATGAGACGACGGCAACGAAAACTCGATAGGCAGAGACGGCGTGCTGGAGGAATGACTCAAGGCCGGACTATCTGCTGTCGGGGAGACGCTGGCCGAGCCCGAGTGTGAGAGGGACGGGCTGGTCATCTTGGAGGTGTCAGCGTATCCTTCCTTAATTTGGATCGTGCTCGTCGCGGTGCCGTTAGTTCGGCGAGCCGACGGTGCGATGGCGCAGCCGCTTACAGGAGGAGAAGGAGGAGGAGGAGGAGGAGGAGGAGGTCGTGGAGGCCCGACGCATGGTGCCGATTGCGTGTCGTTTTGCCGCGGCCGCACGTCGCTGGCCATGTTGTGATGGTTTGTGCTTATCCCCCTCCGAATGTGCATCAGTGATGATGGTGTGTTTCCCACTCGTGTTGGTTCAGGCCCGGACTGGGCCAGTGGTGAGTGTCATTCAAGTGAAGCAAGACAAGCTGATGAGTGTATCCCGTGTGAAAGTAGAGCGAGCCAGCCAAATAGAACTCTGGCTGAGTTGAAGACTCAACAAAGCAAAAAAAGATGAATAATTTAAGATACACGAAAAAAGAGGAAAAGGTGAATGAGGAGAAGAGGAGGTATGTCGTGGAATCACTTGGCGAAATCTGAATCTTAGTCTGCCCGCGCTGACACACAACTATGCAGTGTTGGCATCCTCGGCGTCGGTGAAATCAAGCGGGTGTTTGACAAGCTGCCAGAGCCGCACTTCTTGGAACAATGGAAAAGAAGGGGAATAGCCGAACTAAGGCAGCAAGAAGTGAAGAAGCAAAGGAATCAAGAGAAACGACAAACGAGCGACGTCGAGGGCTGCGGAGAGACGAGACGGGGCGAGACGACGACGCCTTTTTTTGGAGGGAGGGGGGCCCGGGTCCCCGGCTGGTTCTGCAACACTTGTGAAGCACGCCGCATCCCGGCCCCGTGCGGCGGAGGGTTGAATTTGTGGGCTGCGTCAAAAAGTTTGCCCTGTATTGGACGCGAGGGTTCTTTATACATTTACTTATTTGTTCATACATTGGATGTGGTTGTTTTGGAAGTGATGTTCTGCCGTCGTCGTATGGTTGGTGAAACAAGAGTGCGAGGGAAGCTCGGGTCGGCATTCTGTTGCGGTAAGAGATGCGCAAGAGAGAAGCTGGATACTGCGACAACGGAGTAGCTGAGATGTGAGCCGGTTGAAGATATGGAAAATTGCAGCGTCATTTGTTGTCGTCTGCATTGGATTGATGATGTTGCGCAGCATCAACACTTTAGATCATGATGCTATTCATATTCTCGTGTCTAGAATCAGGAGAGAAGAACGCAATTAATTTACACTCGAGATCAAGAAACACAATCAAAGGAAGCAATCTCTTCTGGCAGGGCTTGGCAAGTGCGTTTACAAAGTCTTTGTACGTGCAACCCGACACGACAGAGTGTTTCACGCACAACGGCTACCTACCTTATGCCTCTACACACACCTTTGGAAACGTCGAGCGCCAGAGGGCGGGCATAAGACGGACAGCGACAGGTAGGTAGGTACGCACAGGTGGGGTACCTGAATAAGTACCTAGGAACGAGGTGAAGTTCCACAGCGATTCATATCTAGATTGAATCGATGTAGACAGCTCTGTTTACATTTATACATCTATTACCAACCCATTTTCACAGCTTTCGAGCTGTTCAGTTTCTTGCCTCTTGCCTCATTCCTCATGCGTCCTCTAGAAACAGTCGTCGCCACCTACTGGATAAAACTGGTGTGGGCCCCTGAAACCGCCCCTGCTGAGACTCCACCACGACCCCTGTAGCCACCCGCTGCCAGCCACTCACAACTTCACAAGCCTCACCACCATTGTATCAACAGTATTGCCCAACTGTCCCCTTGTCAGGCCGTGTCACGCAAAGCATCACGCTGGGTTGATTGTTGACTCTGGCTTTGTTGCGCGTCCATCGCGGGGCCGTCGTGTGAACAGTGAGGCGGACCAGCCTCATTCAAATATTGCTCACCTATTCTTATCAACCAATGATTATCTTTCCGTCTCCGTACCACGACTTCCGATTGATGCCCTGCGCAGGACACCAGCCCACTCTATCTGCACCATCCAGGAGGCGGCTCTGTGCCGTCCGCCTTGCCCACGCGACACCGTAGCTGCTTGGCTGCTGCCTCGCATGTCTCGAGACAACTTCGCCTGCCCATTCTCTTCCCCAAAACAGACCCTTCATCCCGAGCCAGCTTGACTCGGTCACATTTTCCTGCCTCTGACCAAACACCAAGCCAATCGTGGCTCTCGACCGCATTGTCCGTTGCTCTAGTTCGGCCTTGGCTTCCGCCGCCGTTTCGACATCAGGCACATTGGCTCGCGCTTCCAATCACAGCACCCCCCTCCCTCTCGTGGCCACACATGCAACAGTCTGTACCGCCAGATTCGCAATCCGTCACTTGCGCCGCTGCGTCCGATAACCAGCTCAGAACTGTCTTGCTGGCCCTGGCGCACCACATTCCTCGGATACCCGCCCCCACCGCCGCCTGAAAACACGAGCGCTTGCTCGGATCCCGGCCGCGCTCTGGACGGTGCCGCCAATCACGTCTCCGGCGTGCTCCACGGCCTGTAGCTTGCTTGCCACAGAAAGTCATCTCGTATCGCTAGCACACCGAGGCCCATCATGTTTGGCGGCATCTCAGCCCTTGGTGAGCTTCACTTCCCATCCACGTCTTGCCCATGCTCATCCCGTGCATTTTCTCAACTTGCGCTAACACCGTCGTCATGCACAGTAAATGCGCAGCGGACTCTTGATAGAAGAGAGCGAGACCCTGCTAACATTCCTCCCCCAACCCCGATCGCCTTTCCCCGCTACCAGCCCTTTACCCAGGATGGTGCTCCCGTCGAGCCCTCAGACTCTCTGTCGGCCCTGCTCTCCACCACCGGCAGACGGCCGGCGAAACTAGCGTCCGTTGCCCTCTCGGCCATTGGACTTGATCTTCAAGTCGATGTGGATGTGCAGCAACTGATTCCCGACCCGTCAATGATACCAGACTTTGCCACTTGGGAACAAATGACGCTGGAACAGTCCCACGATGCTCATCAATCCACCTTGCGACCTTTGAGTAATGGTAAACTTTCACCCGGCTGTCGTGCCTACCTTGAACGAAGGGATCAGCTCTCTACCCCGAATGAAGAGGCCTTTCGCACCATCAGGCGCATCTCACCACCAAAGGGCCAGCAGGCCGCGCGACTCGGCCATGCATATGACTTCTTTGGTCGTCTGGAACAACTGACACCATATTGGGATGACCCCACCAAAGCTGTCAGTCTTCCACCGTCTCCAGAGATCAATGCTCATGACGACGTGCCCTCTGAGCCGCCCTCGACCACAGCAGCTCCTGGGGCCGATGCGGCGGCCGGGCGCACACAAGCCGGCCACGAGATGCCTGCCCCTCTCCGCCATTTGCTTGTCGCCAGCTTTGTCAAAATGATATCTTACGAGTTTGGATGCGGCGCCAGTCCCTCTAGAACAGAGCCTCGTTTGCATCTTCAATCCCCCCGCGACAGTCGGGCCTCGCCGCGCAAGTCGTACTGCCCATCCCGCTGCCAGTTTATTTTCCAGAATCCACAATCGCGAGAGGCATCCCGCAATGGCATATTGTACGGCCCCGTTGCCGCCATCTGCTGCCGTCCAGATATTAGTTTTACCAAGCCGAGTATTGAATTAGCGCAGTCCATGGACCTGGCAAGGGAGGTCATTGCCGCCTTGATAACCGCCCAACACCGTGCTCGCCAGGGCAAAAAAGAGAAGCGGTTTGGCCTGGGAGAATGGTGGACAACCAAGCAGCGTTGGGGAGGCGGCCGCGGCGGTCCCATTGGCCGTGAAGTCCAGGGCGACGACATTTCCGGAGACAAGGACTTGCCGCCAGATGCAGGGGAAGACGCTCCAGTGCCGGCACCGCCAACCAAGAAGATGCGAAGGAACATGGCCATGTATGACAATTACCGCATGATTCGTCTCCCTGCCGCGTGCTGGGACCAGAGAGTCAAATACATGCCCATCGGAAAGCAAACAGGCACAACATACGATGACGTATTCGTCGTGAGTAGTCTGTTTCACCATGTTTCTTTCCTTCGCCTGCGCGTGCCTCTGCGTCTGCTCGAAGTCCTTGACGGAGAGCCGGAGCCGGACACGACTCAGCGAAGTTGGGGCAAGGTGCAGGCCTGGCGCACGCCGTGGTATGATTTTTTTGAGGCCAAGGACAGGGTCAAGGCGATGCAGCTGGTCTGGAGCATGATGGCCTACCAGATGCGGGGAGACACTGGCGCAGCTCAAGCGTGAGATTTTAGAGGTACTTGCGCATGGTTCTCGATGGATTCGACATATTTTATTCAGCAACACAGTATACGGAGCATATGCCTGGGGCAACAAACATACGAATCAGCATCTTGATTCATCCATACTGTCATTGTTCATACCTTCTTTGGGCTTTGAGGTTATCAATAGCAACTATCATTATGCATCCCTTTTGGAAAGCGAGAAAAGCACAGATTCTGGTTATTCATAGAGCCAATTGGCATAAGCGCTAATGTAGAAACAACAGTACATTCACTACCAGCAATTGTCTTGTAGCCCGTCGTGAAGACTGAGAGCAAGACCAGAAACACAGAAATTGCTCATTATCCATACTTAATCGTAAGCGCATGCTCGACAGAGCCTTAAATCATGCTCGACGGAGCATTTATGCAATATGCGCTTCTCGTCTTCACATAAAGGACAAACATCCAGACCAAGTCCTCAAGAGAAGATGGGAGGCTCGGGCTTGTTGATCATGTGCCACAGGCAAAGATCCCGCGTCGCGAGCGCATCCTCCAGACTGTCGTGACCCTGCGCCTGGTTCTGAATCTCGCGCTTCAGCCGCTCCTTTGCCAGAGCCTTGAGCGAAAGCCCGGGATACTTGGCCTTGTCTAGGTTGACCACCACCTGCTGCTGCTGCTGCTGCTGCTGTTCCCCCTCCTCTCCCTCCTCCCCGCACTCTTCGTTTTTGCTCTGCGGCCGCTCCTGGATGCGCATCTCCAGCAACAGCGTGTCCACCACCAGCGGATGAATCCAGCGCAGCGCGTTGAGGTCCGAGTTGGCCGAGTGCCCGACGACGACCGTGTTCGGGCCGACGAACCGCCAGAGGGCTTCCCGGGCGGCGGTACGCCCCGCAAGCGTACGCCTGGCCCGCCGCGCCGCGTCCATAGCCCGCCGCGACACGCCCGAGAAGCGCGTGTTGTAGTGCGCCATGCGAACGTCGGGCCACACAAGGCTGTCAACGAGCACGCGCCGCGTGAAGAGGTCAACGGCGGACACGCGGATGAGCTCCGACTCGCCAGACGCGGCCGTCCCCATCTCGCAGTCGAGCGCCACGGCGGCGACGTGGTCCTGCGAGGAAGTGGGAGAGGCGGGCGGCGTGGAAAAGTAGGCCCAATTGCGCTCGAGCTCGTCGCGGCGGTAGACGCGCGTGGTATGGGATTGCTCAGCGGCGCATGGCGCGCCGGTGATACTGCGGCCGCAGCAGGTCCATAGCTACAGATGCACCTCGTGTTAGTATGAGATGTGATGAGGAGAGAGACGGGGAAGACTGACCCTGGACTGGATTCGGCCGGGATGATATTTGCAATCCATCGGTGGACCACGGTTCTTGCCGTCTGGGGGTTCCAGCTTCATGTCACGCATCATGCCGGCCATGTCGGCAACCGCGGGGCCAGCCTGCGTTGACATGGACCTCATGTGCGCCGGCACGCTCGCCTGTCCCGGCCCTCTGCCCGGACGCGGGTAGGCATCGGCGGAAATTTGCTGCGCTACGCCCGGGGAAACCTTGACGCTCTCCGCCCTCGACTTGTGCCGCTCGCGGCCTTTACGAATGACTTGATTATTATTCTGCTTAGCGATCCTATTCGGTTCCGTCTTGGGGGAAAGGAGGGGGACGAAGTGGCGTACCTTTGGTACATCGCTCGCATCGCTTCTTCTTGTCGAGGTCGGACTGGCCGAGCTGCCAGAGGACGTAGCCGGCCTTTTGCAGCCGAGGATGCGAGTGCGTCAAGGCCAAGAGACTCTCGACATTCTCCTCGGTCGCGAGGATGGGTCCAAAGTCGGCTTCTGTCGGTGGCTCCTGGGACAGTGTCGCCATCTTTGCAGAACTCGAGCAGAACCGGATGTGAAACTTCGAGAAAAAAAAAGACGCGCTTCTTGGAGCGTTTGTGATGGATATGGCCTCTTGGACTAAATGAAGGAAGCGAGCGGAAGAATAAAAGCTTGAGGAGCACTACCAACGACAGCCCGGGCGCCGAAAACGCCTGTGAAAATGAAACGATCACTCTGTCTGATGAATAAGAGGAGCGTACGAGAGAAACAAGTAGACGAGCCTAATTCACGGTGATTGTTTGAGGCCCAATTCACGCCGCATGTGAATGGAGCTGGGCAGCCGCCGCTGTCAGATTCAGTCTTTCCCGCAGTCAGCTTTTCCGCCCCGCTACGTACGTAGGTATAGGTACGGGCTGGCTGTATGCAGACAAACGCGACGCAGTTGAAACAAACGAAGGTTTACCAAAAGGCTAAGCGGAAGAAATGTGTCGGCGAATAAATCCAATGTTTGCACAAGAGGAAGTATGTTGTCACACTTGCGGAACTTTTTCTGGCACTGACTGCATCGAGTCGGACGAGCTGGTTTGACCATTGAGAGTGGCATTGGTAGGCAACTGCCTACTCGAATCGCCAGCGGTTGCACGACAAACAAAGACGATGAGCAATTGAACACATTCCCCAATCACTTTACATGAACGAGTAGACATTGATGCAACGACTGCTGTGGCGTTGAGCTGCAATGGGGCACGGCAATAACAGGAAACAAGAATGCCTAGGGCAAACGCTCTCATTCGTGCATCGCAAACTAGACGACAAAGATGGGCCTAAGAGGCCTCTTCTCCGGTGACGCGTTTGCGCCTCGACCAGATCCTTGGGCTGCGTCGCTTTGGCTTTCGCATTCGGACTTGAGACCCATCGTCATTCGCAAATCAAGGCCCTACATGCCCCCTGCAAGGCCGAACAGCGCCCTGGCAGGGCAGGGTTTGCATATGGCAAAGTCTGATGACTTGGGTATGCAAGGCTGCGTGAAGCCCGGCAATTGCCAGCAATTGGCAGGGGTAGATTGCGTAGAGGGCTACGATGCGAACCATCTGGCGTTGATTTTGTGGTGGCC